CCCCCCCCCTCGGCCTGAGCCGTCCTTCTGTCCGTCCCACGCCCGCCCGGGTGCTCGGTGCTGCAGCGGGTAGCCCCTGGGGAGGCACCGCCAGCACCCAGGTGGGTGCTTTGCCACAAGGGTGGGGGCACCCCCAGGCTCTGGATCCTCTTTTGGGGGGCAAAGCTGTGGGGCAGGGGAAGGAGGAAGAGGAGGGCAAGTGACAGGAGAGCAGGAAGGATGGAAAGATGGAGGGAAGGGGGATGGAGGGAGGAAGAGGAGGCAGGTGGGGGGGGTTACCTGCGACAAGCGTCCGACCTCCAGGTAGAAGCAGATGATGAAGGCGTTCCAGCCGACCCACAGCACCAGCCACACCGCGTACTGCCGAGAAGAGAGCCGGTCAGGGCATGCCATGCTGAACGGACATCCCCTGGTCCATCCCCCCTCCGCCCCGCTCACTGGATCCCGCCGGATCCACAGGGATTTGGGTTTGGATACAGGAAGGGACCTGGGGCTGAGCATCCCTGGGGGTGACGATGCTGCAGCTGGGCGCGGGGAGCAGCATCCGCAGCGGTACCTACCATCATGAGGTATTTGGATCTGTACTGGATGGTCCCAAAAATACCCAAAATAACGGCCATGATGTGTAAAAAATTAGCCAGGATGGGTGCCCACTGGTAGCCCAGAAAATCAAAAATCTGCCTCTCCAGCGCCGCTACCTGCAACAGAGCAAAGGAGGGGTTGCAGGTATTAAAGCAGGGCATCGGTCACCGCAGCAGCTCCCGGGATGCTAAAGGCAAAGAGCAGCCAGTAATTAATGGGAAATCCCACGGATAATTGGTTGCAATAGGCTGAAACGTCTGCGTGATGCATTGGCCAGCAGTGGGCGAATGCATGGTGGCGAGCGAGGGGTTATTAGGAATAATTGGAGCTGAGAAGGGGGAGCAGGGAGATGTCAGCTTGTTGCCTTGCCAGCACCCTCTGTGCCTCAGTTTCCCCATTACTCAGGTCTCAGGCACTGCTGGAAAATCACCTTCCAGGCTGGGTTTATCCCTGAGCTCAGCTTACCCAGGGAAAACCTCCTGCTCAGGTCATGCACGGGGTCCCCCGGTATTTTCCAAGCGATTTTTCTGCCTGTCCTGGCCAGTTTCTCGCATGCCTTCTCCTACTGAACGCCATTGGGTTTTGATCACCATTATCTTCTGTAATCCATAAATAGGGATGTGATGCAGCTTAATAAATCGCACGACACGCAAAATCAGAGATGGTAGCTGGTGTGATCTGCCTGTTATCCCAGCACTTTTTAAATTTATGGCTCTATTTGCTACCGACTCGGGGTCTACCACTCTTAATTACAGGATTAGCTTAAAGAAAGGTGGTAGCAAAGGAGACGTGGGAGTGCTGGAGCATTTGCTGACGGTTTTAAGTTAAAAAATGGAGATTTGATGAGGCTGTGGTTTTATAGGGAACTTTTAGGGAACTTCAGGGTGCATTGGATGCTGCAGTCCCCAAGGGCGCGGGGACAAGGCTGCAGCAACATGTGTCTCCAGCAGCCTTGCAAACAAAAAAAACTCTTTACATTTATCTTTTTGACAGCCCAGCCCTGTTTCATCACACTTCAAGATGCCCCAGATTCACCCGATAAACCCCGCAAGCTCTGGGGCCCTGAGTCCTCCCCACAGCAGTGTGCCTCAGTTTCCCCTCTCAGTGCAATGACTCTCATCCTGACAGAGAAGTGGGAGTTTATTCTGAAAATCGCAGGAGAAAATGGGCTTTACATCCCCTCTCCATTCACCAGCATCTTCCCCCAGTGACCTGGATTAAGGGGAGCTCCATCCTGGCGCTCCCTGAAGCTCCCATGGGGGTTACGGCTGCAGGGCTGCCCCAGGGCCCCGCAGCATCCCTGCCCATCCAGCCCGACTTAATGCATCCTAATTACAGGGCAGAAATAAATGAGGTGGCAAAAGTCCTTCCCTAAGTGTTTCGTGAGGATGAGGCATGGCTAACTGCTGTGTGCGCAACCGCCAACTGTGCCTCAGTTTCCCCGTCCATAAAGCATCTCATTGAATTGGCTTAGCGAGGGCTCTAATTAACACCTATTTTAGCCCAGCTCCATCCCACCAGCGGAAGGAAAGCCGAAGGCAGAGCCGAGGACCGTGGTGTCCCATCCCCTACCCTACCCCCAGGATAGGATCTGCTGGATCTGTGCCGGCAGGACCCCGCTTTCAATTAAAGACGATGCAAAGCCACGGAGCAGCCGAGCCTGGATGCGCAGGGCCGGGACCAAGGCTGTTTGCATTGAGGCTTAATTCACTTCCACGCTATTTAAACTCTCCGAGGAAACAGCCTTTGGAAATACTTACAACTGGGCCGTAAATCTTTTAAATTGAGGAATGTAAATAATAAATGATACAAGGAGAGCGGTGCTCGGGGTTTTATAGCCATCCATCGATCTGGTGGCTGTTGACGGAGCTGCTTAGCAGGAGCTAGATGTGAAGGCTGTGAGTTTTGGGTACCGGTGAGTCTCCAAGTAAAGGGATGGGGCTGGAAAAAGCCTCCGAGAGCATCCCATTGAGCTGGAGCGATGGGCTTACACCCACGCGGCTCCTTAATTCCAGGCCATCAAGCCAGGACAGGCTGAAGGAGAAGGAGCTGGGAAAAGCCTGGTCGAACCAAACCCTTCTTCATCCCAAGGAGTGGCAAAATTAGTGGCAAACACCAGAGCCTCCCCGCGGACGAGCGAGGGCTGCTCATTGCACCAAAAAGCTTTGCTGGAGCCACCCCGGCAGGTAAAATGCTGCTTTATGTGCATCGTTATTTGAGCTTATTCCCTCCATGTGAAAAGCAAATCTTGTTTTTTTCAGCCTCGTTGGATCCTGCTTAAGGTTAAGGAAAATTCGGAGACATTGCACAAACGCAGCGACTCCGCGGCTGCAGCTCCCCCGAAACTCGCCGCCTGCAAAGCACCAAGGGCATCCCAAGGGCAGCTCAGCAGCCTTACGCCCTGTTTCACGAGTGGGGAAACTGAGGCACAGCCACGATCCAGGGGGGAGTGGGTGGCACAGGTTTGGCAATCCTCGCCTGGGGCATGGCAGGGCTGAGCGAGCACCGACGCTCCTGGCTTGCTCCAAGCGCTTCTCGCTGCTCGCTCGCTGCGCACCCCAGGCTGCTCCAGCACCCGCAGCACCCTCGCCCGATCCTTTGGGAGTGACACGTCCCCCAGCAGCAAACTTCAAGACACCCAGGCTTTTCACGCAGCCACTGCCAGCCGTTCGTCAGCGGTGGCCCTAAATGAAGCAAGAGCAGTGAGCGAGCCTGGCCATGGGGCTCGGCGTCTCCTGCAAGCACGGCAAGGGGCTCCGCAAGCTCTCGGCGCGCTCCGCAAGAAAATTCCGAGCAACTTGGGGACTGGCAGCATCCAACCCCTCCCAAACCCAGGGGACTCGTGGAGCTCAGAGCATCCTCCCTCTTCCTGTAAGGGGTATTTCCCATGCTAATAGCAGCCCCATTAACGACCCACCCTCATTAACAACCCTGCTCGCCCCTTTCAGCTCTTAATGCTGCTCCGCCATCAAAACCGTGATGCTCCTGGGGTTGCGGGGCCGGGAACCACACACCATCCCGCCGCTAATTAAGATAAATCTGCAGCCGATCAATGCAACGAGTTTTAGGGCTCCCTCTTAATTAAACACTCTCTAGTTTATCGATCAGCCCCAAAAGTTCCCTTTGCAGCAAATCACATCAATTAGTCGGGGGCACCCTTTGCAGCAAATCATATCAATTAGTCGGGGGCAGGCGCGCGCCAGAGTCCTGCTAATTGAAATGTGTTGCCTGCAATGATTTTATTTTAATCAAGAAATCGAAGCAGGCCGGACGCGGGGACCGGGCTCCATCAGCGCCTGGCAGTCCCCGGGGAGGACCGTGGCAGGAGGGGACACGTGCGCAGCCCCTTGGGGACAAGGAGCTGCCGGGCTCAGCCCAGGGGCTCTGGGCAGGCAGAGCTGGAGGAAAATGGGATTTTTTAGGGTGCTGGCAGCAAATTCAAGTGGGAAGGAGTTCGCCTGTCCCCAGATCACCCCTCGGTTATGGCACCTTCACCTTCCTTGGACCCATCCCGTTACTCGGTGGGGTTTTCCCAGTCCTTTTTAATCCCCTTGATAAGGACGGGAGGGATGAAAGCCACTCCAGCTGTGCCAGCAGGATTGCACAGACACCAGGGAGCACCTTCCCCCATGTCCCATCCCCACCGGATTTGATATTTTGAGGTTGGAAATCCCTCCTGCAACCAAGCTGGGTAGCGTTGGGCCCCAGGAAGAGCATCCCCAACCCACCACCCTGCAATATTAAAACAGAAATCTTCTTGCCCAGCAGCTGCCATTTTTGCTCTCTTGGAATCAGAGAATCACAGGATGAGTTGGAGGGACCTTCAAAGATTAAAAGATCATCTAGTTCCAACCCCCCTGCCATGGGCAGGGACATCCTCCACTAGATCACGTTGCTCCAAACCCTGTCCAACCTGACCTTGAACACTTCCAATATAGAATCACAGAATGGTTTGGGTTGGAAGGGCCCTTCAAAGACCATCTAATCCACCCCCGCTGCCATGGGCACGGACATCTTTTGAGCATCTTTCAGGTTGCTCAAAGCCCCATCCAACCTGACCTTGAACATTTCCAGGGATGGGGCATTCACAACTCTTCCAGTGCCCCACCACCCTCACCGTACAACATTTCTTCCCTACGTCCAATCTAACCCTACCCAAGTTTGAAACCGTTGCCCCTTGTCCTGTCACTACAGGCCCTGGTAAAAAGTCTCTCTCCATCTTTCTTGTAAGCCCCCTTTATACATTGAAAGGCTGCAAGAAGGTCTGCCCAGAGCCTGCTCTTCTCCAGGCCGAACGACCCCAAGTCTCTCAGCCTTTCTCCATAGGAGAGGTGTTCCAGCCCTCGGACCATTTCTGTGGTCTCCTCTGTACCCGCTCCAACAGGTCCATGAATTCTTGTATGGGGACCCCAGAGCCGGACGCAGCACTGCAGGGGGGTCTCACCAGAGCAGAGCAGAGGGGCAGAA